GCTTTTTGAATAAATCTCTATTCTGCAGTGATCTTTTTGATATGTGAAACCCCGAGAGATTCACATAAATGAAGACCATGCTAGACACTGATATTCAAGTAAGATCATTGAAATGAGATTCTGTGATTTCATGAGATTTGGGTATTTTTTTAAACCTTCAAAAGTATTTCAGTTTTAGTTTGGGGGAGTCTGTGAGACATGTTTGGGGGGTAATGGGTGGATGGTGGCCAAACACCATGTTACTTACTCTTAGTATATATAGTCAAATCTTGCAGAGGAAAGATCACAATGTCTTTTCAGTGATCCCATGTAAATGATGAAAGAAATGTCTCATCAAATATTTGGAGTTCTCTGGCAGCAGGAACAAGAAGGTGGATGGATATAATTTGATGGAACAATTTAATATAATAGATGGTTGGTAGTGAACAACTCCTTGGAAAGCAATTATGTTAGTTCTATAAAATTGTATCCAATTCCATCAGACTGGTCTAGCAAATCTATTATTCCTGAAAACTAAACTACAGAGAAGGACAGGTTTATCAAGGGCGACCAGTCTAGAAACCTCAATATTATTTCTGGTTTGGGAGCAGCATAACTCCAAACATCCGTTGCAGGGGAACACTGGGGATGGAAGTATGGCTCCGTCTCTGAGAAGGACCTTGGCTTGATCTCAGGGCTATTTTTACGTTCTTACCTCAAGGGCAAAATAATAACTGCAATTCTGTTATCAGTATGGATAATATTCAAAAACCAGCAGCCCATTCCAGGGAGATAGTCAAGTTAATCTACATTTATCTCTGTTGCCATCATCTATCTATCATCTGTTATCTATCCTCTGTCATCTATCAAATTTATATGGCTGCCCACTCATACAAAGTGACTCTGGGTAGCATACATGAAAATCAGCAATTAAAACATTATATAAGAGCCATTGTCTCCTCCTCATATTTGAAGGAGCTTTAAATCATTTTTGAAAGAGTGCTAAACCTCAGTCCAAATAATAATCCAGCTCCTAGTTCCAGGTAGGAAGAGGGGTCTCCTGCTTCACTCCTCTTTCAGCCTGGGATCTCTCGGCCACATTATTTTTGGAAATTAAGAGCACCAGACCACTGATAGATCACGGGCATGGAAAACATCTATTCCTCTGACCTACTAGCTGGGTGATCTTACAGCTAAATCTGCTATTTAAAGACCCTGTGTACCCCCACCAAGCTTCCTACCACATTAAGGAGAGTACTTGGGGGTTGTTATTCTCATTAGCAAGTGAGGTTCAGTGGGAGGGGTGGGAGGTAGGGAAACAAAGCCAGGAGAATCGACGAATCGCTTTCCTTAACTGGCATTTTTCTCACAACCCAGTGAGAGGTTCTCTGGCAGCACCAGTTCTGGCAGCAGGGTGAGAGGAAAAGAGTTGTCGTAGCTACAATAGAGATAGTGTGGAGATCTAGAGTCTTTGCAACAGGCAAAACTGTGAAAGGTTGTGCCAATAATTAAGCAATAATGACCTTATTGATTAAGAGGTAGTCAAGAGGAGTTTGCATTATTGTTTCACTGTTTGTTGATGGTGGAGGGAGGTGTTTTAGGATGTTATGGCCTTATGATGTTTTATGTACTGAGTCAGGTATTTTTATGTATTTTTTTATTCACACGTTCTATTGTTTTTATTGTGCTAAGAGCTGCCTCAAATCTTTGATAAAGATGGAATCCAACTGATGGCAAATGATTCTTATTTATATATAATATAAATATAAAAATAAATTTTACTCTTTAAAATATAAATATAAAAATAAAATATATACATTTATAAAAATATATATACACATTTATATTTTATATACATTTATATTTTACTTATTTTTAGATTAGATTTTTAAAGATTTTTTTTTATCCCACCTTCATTATTTTTATAAATAACTCAAGGTGGCAAACATACCTAATATTCCTTCCTCCTCCTATTTTCCCCACAACAACAACCCTGTGAGGTAGGTTGGGCTGAGAGAGCCCAAAGTCACCCAGCCGGCTTTCATGCCTAAGGCAGGACTAGAACTCACCGCCTCCTGCTTTCCAGCCTGGGTCCTTCACCACTAGACCAAATTTTATTTTAAATATAAAATAAAAAAATAAATATATATAAAATATAAAAGTAAATTTCACCATTAACATTTGTTCTTCCTATCCTTGCAACCAACTCATGTTGATGTCATTCCGTGTACTGATTAAGCATGTCATTTCTTGCACCTACAAGAGAGGGGAGCTAAGGTGGCATAGTGGTTAATCTGTTGCCTGGCACTGGGGAGACCAGGGTAAAGTCCCCCCTTAGCCACAAAAGCTTATTAGATGACATTGGGCCAGTCCCTGTCAACCCTACAACTTCACAGGATTGTTGTGATGGGGTCTGAAGGAACTAGGGGATATCTCTCTTATAACACATTTGTTAGCCTTGTTAAGGAAATATAAAACTTGGTTTTTGTTCCAGAAGAAGAAGATTAACGTGACAGCCCTTTTGGAAATTCTCCACCAAATGACCATGAGCAAGCACAATAACTTTGGAATAGCGGTTAGCTAATCTTTTCAATGAGTGGGTAACCCATTAAACAAGGGACACCAAAAGTAGGAATAAACAGTTCTACTATCACTGGAGACCCTCTGTTCATACCAGTACTTTAAAACATTTATAAAAACTCTGGGGTTAGAGGATAAGCAGCAAGGTGGCCAATTTTTGGAGAGAACAGTGAATTATTCAAGGTAGTGATTAATCAAACATGTTGCAATGGGCTTCAGAAGTGTCCAGACCAGGGGTGGGGGATCCAAATTCAAGGTGGATCTTTATTTTGCCTGCCCAGCTCTTTAGAGAGGTTGAAAACTGGGGATATAAAAGCATGCATAGAGGAATACGATTTCAGTTCAGTTCCCCATATGCCACAGCAGTAGACCAGTGTGGTCCAGAGGGGCTGGATCTCCACTCCCTTTGATCCTAGTCCAGCTTTCCAGAGAAACAGGGAATCACTGCTTTAGCTTCTGTGTGAGAGTCTTTTAAATATTTCAAGACCATTTGTATGTTGTTCCATAGTACAGTATTCTCTGAACTTTGATTAGTTTTCCAGCTTTCCTAAACTTCTGCAATTTCTAAATGGACAACCAAGCCCAGAGTTCTTAATGTGGAATCCAACAGGACATTGCTTCCATGGCCAAACAGATGATGCATCTGACTAACCTTGGCTTATCTTAGACGCCAAGCAGGGTCTGCCTTGGAGAAGAATGAGAATTCCAGGGCTGCTGGCTAGCATAAGAAGTTAGAAAAATATCTTGGAAGAAGCAACAGTAGAAGATGTCCACCATCATGCTAAGAAACCTGCATGCTTGTACATGCCCGTAACTCTTGAAGGCAACTTGATTTATTATTTCTGTGCTTCAGATACTGGTCTTCTGTTTGTGGAGCCAAACTGCCTTAGATGAAGAAGGAGCCAGGTTCAAGGCTATGGAAAACTCACTGAATGACTTTAGGACAATCATTCCATCTCTCTCTCTCTCTCTCTCTCTGAGTTGCTGTTGTGGAGATAAAATGAAGGGAGATTCCCCTGGAAGCCCCTGTTGAACTTTTGAAGGAAAGTTTGGATATAAATCTAATGAAGGGGCTTGCCTAGTCACAAAATGGTTGCCATGATGTGGGGCACAAAACCCAGAACAGAAGGCAAATGGATACGGATGTTCTTCATCTTCTCTGTACCAGGAGGCACCCTAGCTTCCTTCCCTTTTTTAGAAAGAGAATTGGGCAATGGGCTGAATGCTCAACAGAGCACTAGCATGCAGCTATCCATGCCACCATTTTTTCTTCCTACCAATTTCTCTGGTGACCATATAGAACCTTTTTTTTTTTTTTTGGTCCCTTCGAGTTAGTTTTGACTCCTGATGACTGCCAGGACTAGTCTGTGCAGTTTTCCTGGCAAGATTTCAGAAGCAGTTTGCCACTGCTTTCTTCTTAAGGTGAAGAGAGAGGGACTGGCCCAAGGTCACCCTGCTGGCTTTGTGTCTAAGGTGGGACTAGAACTCACGGTCTCCCGATTTCTAGCCTGGTGTCTTAACCACTACAACAAACTGGCTCGCGTATGTAAACTGGGGGCATTCTTTTAAATAAAGATGCTTCTGGAGAATGATGCTTTGCAGCAGTTCAGCTTCACATTTATTTACTCATTTTAATTAAACAAAATTAAAGACAATCAGAGGAGGGCACACTTGGATGTCAAATGAGGTATCCAGCACAGGCCTTTTGGTGCCTGTAAGCATCACAATGCTTCTCCCTGGCCCCTATATAATAGACAATTTATCTTTTAACTTTTGTTATTTCCCCCAGGCAGTGTTTGTGCAACGTGTTTAACCAGGTCAGCATGAGTTGTATAGCAACTTCGGTATTAACCTTGGTGAGATAATTTTGGCAGGCTGGCATACTGGGTTGTTTGTATTGGTTTAGTTTATTGTGTAAACCAAGAAAATGGCTTATTTATGCAAACAGGTCACACATCATCACTGTGAAGGTAGCCTGTAACTAGTCCTGTGAGTCCTTGCAACACTTGCTCTAAGAACTCAAGTGGCACTAATAGCTTCCTCATTTCCCATATCCCCCCAAAATCCTTACAGTCATTGCAATTAAGCTTGTCTTTCTGTACAAATCACACACATAAGATGAAGGACACATTCCTATGTGGCAAATGTCTCTAATGAGTCTGAGAGGTTGCCAACATGCTTGCTTGTTTTGCCTGCTAATTATCACATATACTTAGCTGGCATCTTGTCCAGATGAAGCAACAGAATCCTGCAAGAACATAAACCAGAAAAGAAGGAAGAACAATATTTTAATTCATTTAAGACAGAGTGCTGTCAGTTAAAGATGGAAGTGAGTCAGTTCCTGATTGCTGTAGGTATCTGCTTTCTGACGGTGCAGTTCATAAAGCTGCTTTGGGCACATCGAAAATTTCCTCCTGGACCTGTTCCTTTCCCTATCTTTGGAAGCCTTTGGAGAATTGGATGGAAGGTTCACCAGGATACTTTCATAAAGGTATTTTTCTAAATAATCCTCATATGGCAGCAGGTATGTTCAGATGAGCATGACAAAGACAAGGAGGGTCCTGCAACCAAGTCTATGATAAAAGACTTGGAAGCAGATGGATATGTTGACTCTGAAGATTCAGGGGAACATGACTGGAATTTTTAGATATATTCATTTTGTATGAATGGTGGAGAAGATCAGGCAAAAGTTTAGGAGAGATTTCCTAATGGTATGAATTGTCTGAAGGGATGTCTTGTCCTTTTTAAAAGGCATTTGTGGATTGCCCACAATGGCAGGAGAGGGGATGGGTGTCATCTTAGGACTCTCCCCAACGTTAATGTTTGCAGGGTGAAGGATCCTTTTATCATCTTTGGTGGACCTGTGAAAAGGCTAAAA